CTCTCACACTTTTCTTGCAGATGTTATCAATTTGAAGGATTTTGTTTTTTTGTTCTTCAGATTTTACAATAATCAACAAACTTCCATCTCGAAGAGTTTTTGCAAACTGAATGTCTCCTATTTTCTTTTTTAACTCTCTTGATACAGCTATTGGACTTAGTTGGATGTTTTCCTCCTCATTTTTGAATTTCAGAATTATTTTGAACTCTTCTTTCACCATTCTTTTACATCCTATCTCACTTCCTTCATCTGAACTAATTTCCTCCAAGCTTCTTTTAGGATTTCCAACCATGTTTTTATCTTCTCTTAACATTTTTCCTCTTCCTCTCCCTCTTCCTCTTCCATTTACAACCTGAGACCATTCATTACTACTATCCATTTCCTCATCATCATCAACCTGAGTCGCCATTTCAGTCCATTCACAATCCAGCTTATGCTCACCGCCAAATTCAAGATTTTCGCGTTCCGTAATTGTTTGTCAAACTCAGCCGTCACTTGTCCTCCACCGCCCCTCGAGGACCCCTATCCAGCATGTTTTACTTGTTTCCCTGCTCTTCAGCAGGTCTTCAGAAGATCGTTAATCACTCATTCATTCAAACCAGGTGTGTCAAATCAGGGAAACCTCTAAAATCACTGCTTTAAATGTTGACCGACACCTCAAGAGCTTCTCTGAGCTTGATGAGACATTTTCAAAATATAATATTGACTTAGTTTTATGTTTTTTAGTATTGCCTCTGGAAGCCATTGATTCTTTGCCATTTATTTGTAAATAATAAATCAGATAACATGTAAAGCAGTGATTCTCAACCCTATCCTCAAGGACTCCTTTCCTGCATGTTTACAGGTTTCCCTGATGCGACACACCTGTTTTGAATGAACGAGTGATTAACAATCTTCTGAAGACCTGCTGAACAGCAGAGAAACAAGTCAAACATGCTGGATAGGAGTACTTGAGGACCAGGGTTGGGAACCACTTCATCTGTCAGCCTGATACTGACTCAAAATTCAACTGTAACACAAACTCATCAGGAATAAGCAATAGGTGCATAAAATAAAATAAATTAAAAATATATATTTTTGGCAACTTGCATCCCATTCTGGCTTGTGATGTCACAATCCTGATGTTGGGTTGTTTTGTTATTTTTTCTAATAGTTTGGTTTCCATCATTAGTTTCCTTGTGGCTTTATTTATGCCAGCCAGCCAAGCTTATTTCCTGTTTCTCTCCTGTATTTTTTAACACTGCTCAGTCAGCTCCCGAGTTCTCTTCCTTATTACTCACCTAGTCTCAGTTGTCTTTTGTCTCTTCCATTCTCACCGACTTAATCTTCAGATTCTCATTCCTTCCTCAGTCTGTCAACTTATTGTTTACTTTTGGCTTTGAGTGTGTGTGTCTACACGCGTGTGTTGAGGAGGCAGATTCTGTTTTGTATAGACTGCTGCCATGTCAACTTATTGTTTGTTTTTTAATACAATTTATTCAATTCCTTTTTTATTTCTGTTCACAACAAAATCTGACACAAAAGCTGGATTTTAGATGGTTTAAATAAACTATATGAAGTCACAAACCTGTCAAAATGTTAACATAATATGGCGACAATACATTCCAGTTCATAATATAGGGATGTTGGCATTTTGTCAGCAGCTGCTGCCATTTTCTTCCCAAACTGCTGTGACCAGATTTTGCGAGGCTGCTCGGTGCGTTTGCTTGTAATTTCTTCCTGCTTCGTTATTTCTACGAATTTCAACAAATCAGGCTGCCGTAAGGTAGTTAGCTACAGCCTCGTCTTCGAGTTTTTAATTTTTGTTGATGTGTTTTGAAGAGACAATTTTTTGAAAAGAGGATCAAAGTAAATCGCCCGAGTTTTTTTAGTGACCCCTTAAAGAGATAAGCTGCCATGAAGAACATTATTTTATCTGCCCTTCTTCCAAATTTGATAATGATTTGAAACGTCGAAGTATGTTTTATTTAATCCNCACACACACACACACACACACACACACACACACACACACACACACACACACACACAAAGAAATGAAGCCTCGAATTTACTTAACAAAACTGGTTCCACTGAAACAGTTGACATACTGTAACTCAGTTAAGTAAATGCTTCATTTTTGAGCGTGCATAAACAGCTCCTTTCATGATAAGTTCTGGTCACATTTATATTTGTAACTAAGTGTTCAATTTTAAAGTAAAGAAGTATGATTTTTAGGTTTTTTTGAAATACAAGTAAAAGTTACGATTTAAAAAATAAAAACCTCAAAAAACGTACTTAAGTCCTGTAACAAACTGTTCCTATCATCTCTGCTTCTCAGTATATTGCTACAGCTCCTCATCAGTCATTGGTTTTAACATAAACATCATTTAAAAAAACCCACAAAAACAAAACATAAAAAACAAAAACATAACAAAAAATTGCTCTAAAACATTAAATAATACTTAATTAAAGACAACATTTGAATCTGAGTCCCGTAACATTTGCAATTCAATAATATGACAATGAATTAATAAACCTTGTCATGAATGAATGAATCTTAATCCTCCTTCAGTTTTTTTTTTTTTTTTTTGCAACATTCTTGGGTAAATTTTGTGTTTCCAAAAAAAGTTTAACAGATCTTCTTCAGCAGCCATCTTTGATGTCAATAAAAAATGAATACCTGGTGCGCATGAGAAAGTTTATTTTCCTTTACACTACAGGTAAAAACTGCAACTGAAGGTTATGAGGTGGAAATGAACATGCAAATACCAGATAATATTTTCATGACAGCATGAAAGGAACTATAAGAGGCCTTAGTGACAGACTCAAAACTCATTGGAGGGATTCTTCTCTGGCCTGGGAACACCTTGGGGTCCTCCAGGTGGAGCTGGACAAAAGACAATTTGACACTGCTGCCCCCTGTTTTTAAAAGATGCCTCCATGGGACCATATAGTTCAAAAATATGTGGGCTAAGTTAGCTTTCAGAACAAAAAGACACAGTTTAAGAATTATTATTCCCCCCTGTTTTACATCAGTGTGGAACAACTCCAGATTGTTCCTCCTTCAGTAGATTTTGTAATACATTTATTCTAAATATTTGGCTCCAACGCCTCCTATCATATTATCACAGAGACGAGCTGGAGCTCCATGATCCTTTCTGGATCGTGGAGCTCCAGAAAGGGGATAGATGGACATTGTGACATATCGCAAGAGTAGTTTGGCTACATTCCTTGGAGGTGAGGTTCAGCTCTTTTGCAAGCATGGTCATTAAAATTTCTCACTGAAACAAAATGTGCCACCATGCCATGACACAATAGATGTCATTCACATTGTCACTTGTTTCTTTCATTGTAAAATGAATCCTTATAAACCAGTGGTACCCAACCCTGGTCCTCGAGGACCCCTTCTTCTTCTTCTTCTATTTAGGGTTTATTGGCGGTTTGCAAAAAACTTTAGGTGTGCATTACCGCCACCAACTGGAAAGGAGTGTGGACTGAAACGACTTATTAATATTAAAAAAAAAATAAAATAAAATCATATCCTATCAAA